AAGACCCACCAATAACTTAAACATACTCGTGTAAAAGTTTGGCTTTGAGTGACTCAACAAACCTCCAATTAAAAGAGTAACCTGGTTATCTTGTTATATGGTGGAAGGCAACTTTTGACTCAATATATTAATGAGGGATTTTTATTTATTAATTCATTAATTAAGGTCTTATTGATTTGGCATTGTTGACATGCATAGCATTTATTGCATTTCACATGTATCATATATATAGATATACTAAAAAATAAATCTATGCCATGCCAACTACTAGGATGATTATGGACTTTACTAATTTTAATTTCCTCGAGCCATTAAGGAAATTAGTTGATCAAATTCCTAGGGGATTTACACAAGCATTGTCTTCAAGCTTTGCTTGTAATCTCCTTGAATCTCCATGGCACCTTTGGATTTCCATCTTCAAGTTATAAAAATTTTTCTAGCTAACTAATTATACTTTATAATCAAGAAACCTCGAGTTACATTCGATGGGAGTTAGGTGAGAAAAGAATTTTGCAACCCAAAGAAAGTAAAAATAAGGCAGTGTGCGCAGACCCTATTTTAAATCCAAAAATAATTGCTTCTTTACCTTTAGGATTTGTCAAATCTTCAGCCACCCAAGTATTTGGCCTTTAACAGTAATCTACAAAGTGACTGAATAAGACCTTCTTCAAGGTAAGATTTTACTTGTGCTAGCAAGTTTTGTTTCTAAAACAAAGTGACCAAAATTATTACCGAACTTTATTTTTGTCAGACAAAGAAAACTATTTTTCCTTTCTTATTTTATGAAATGGCTAAAAAGTGGTTGGAGGTTTAATATTTTTAGTTTGCTACTATAACATATTTATATAGCCAAACTAATTTATAACCCTAAATACAATAATTTTATTTTAATTAAATTAAGTCTCTAAGAACTTAATTAATTTATCACTTTATTTTGGTCTTTTTCAATTTAGTCCAACTTAATTAAATTATCCTTATTTAATCCCAATCATGTCACTTAATGTGTTTGACCCATTAGGCTTCTAACATGTTGACAATAAATATAAATTATAATCAAATAGCAATTTGATAATTAATTTACATTTATAGATCATGAGTGGCATCTAGCAATACATCATGACCACCCAAATGCTAGATAGTCAATTAAAGAATTTGATAAAGCCTTTCAGTGATAAGCCTTTCAGTGCAGTACAGCCCTTTCATCAAATATTCCAAATATGTCATTAAGCATGGCTCGGTGTCTACTTACGATATTCCATATTAGTTCTCTTAATTCATGACTAACCTTATGAATTTAGGAAACTAATTTTTCTCAAATTCATCATACTTTGGCCTAAGATTTTATACAAGTTAATCAAGAATTGAGAACAAGTGAGATACATGATAACTCTATTATATAGAGTTATTTTGACTCATTTTGGGAGC